GGAATATTTTTTTCCTTGTGCCATTGCTCTGTTAAATACTATATGACCTGATATGTACTGGACAGTGGCTTCTTCCTTTGGAAAAGATATTTTACTGAGGCATTGTTACTATTTATTAATTTCCTGTTGCTATCCAAACACACCGTTGATCTTGCTGTTCGTCACCGAAAACAAATTCCTTGTATATATTTTATACTTGGTCATTAAAGTATTTTGTATTTGTATTGATGAAAAAATTAATTTCCTGTTGCTATCCAAACACACCGTTGATCTTGCTGTTCGTCACCGAAAACAAATTCCTTGTATATATTTTATACTTGGTCATTAAAGTATTTTGTATTTGTATTGATGAAAAAGGTCTTCTTTCTTGTGGATACCAACATCCATGGGAAGTGGCATAAAACAGGAGAGCCTTCACTGATGATTGCAAGGGTCAGGCAGTTCTGTCTGGGAGAAGGTCTTAGGTCTTAAATTGTTCAGGTTGAATAGATGAACAAGGTGAACTTTCCTTGAGTCAAGCACAAATTCTGGTGACTTCATGGATATGTCTATTGACTTTTCTTGGCAATGGAAGCAGCCAACCTTGGCTGATCCAAATAAGGCTAAGCAGAGTCAGACCCACTTACTAACTGGATGGGAAACTCACAGGAAATCTTAGGGTTTGAAGACTAGATTAGGAAGCCAAAAATTAAGACAGAAGAAGACAATAGTAAGCACTTATGTATTGTTACCAAGAAAGCCACATGGAATTTGATGCAAAGGAGACTTCACTTTTTTGCACAACCTGAATAAGTATTTTCTTTGGTCACTCCTGGCTGTAATATCAAATCTAAGATAGAGGAACCTGTTTCTCTCTCTCCATATAATATATCATTTTATAAACCTTCTCTCTCTCTATCATCAGTACTCATCTTTGTCCCCCTCTGCTACAAATCATTCTTCCCAACTAAATCATCCTGCAGATGTTTAGACTTCAACTTCCAGAATTCCTGACCATGATGAAAACTGCTGAGAATTCTTGGAGTTCCCCCCATGTCTGCAAGTTGTCCAGATCAAGAAAAATTGCTCTAAACCAAAAAGCACTGTGGATGGAGGTCCCACTGTACAAGGAAAAAGGGTTAAACATTCTCTTCCTCTCATCCATGGGATCTCCAACGTAATGCTCAATTGGCTGAGAGAAAGTCATACCTGCTAGATGTGGTTTCTCAGCTGTCTTCTCTGCCCGAACTGCCTTCTCAACTTGTGGTGCCTTTTCGACTCTCGGCACTTTCTCGGCCACCTTTTCCAGTGCTGGTGGCTTTTCGACTCGTTGGGCTCTCTCAACCACCTTTTCAGCCCTCAGGACTTTTTCTGCAACTTGCTCAGCCCGAGGCAATTTTGCAGGGGCCATTTCAGGCAACAGATGCTTCTCTGCCTCAAGTGATTTCTTAGGAAGCACAGATGGTGTGGCTTCAGTCATACTATCCACAAATTCATCAAGATCTTTCTCAAGAATGTGGAGCTTATTTTTCTCTTCCTCCTCTATCTCCTGAAAGAGAATGATATTGATGATTTACTACTTTTGAGTAGCCCTAACTTAGCCGAAAATTTTCCTATAATTTCTCTGATCTCTTTGAAAACATCCCTTATTTTCCTTTTCTTGTTTTTTTCCTTTATTTCTAAACATCTTTGATGGACCTTTTTCATTCAACATTGGAAGTCTACATTCCGTTGTTGTATAACCTTCCAGTTGCCCCTTCCATCTTCCTTGGTCTATCATAAATTTGTTCTGAAAGCCACTTGGATTTTTTCCTGTTTGAAATGATGGGAATATTTTCCCACTTCCACTTTTACCATCTCTTAACTCTTCCCATAGCTCCTCATACTCTTTCACATAAACATCACAGTATTTATTATCTCATGTTTTGGATAAATCTCAGTCAGCTCCACCCACTGAACCATAAACTAACCACACACTGGCTGGGTTTGGATATCTTACTGAGTCATAAACTAGACAATCACATTTTGGCTTAGGGTTGTATGAACTCAATTAGAGAGTCACCCAGTCTTATGGTTGAGAATGGATTTGAACACTTGTATTTCCAGACCCGATCCCACAATCCAGTTCTGCACAGTTTCTTTCAGTGGGGAAAATAACAGAGATTTATTTTAATCAGTACACAGGACAGGATTTATTAATGCTATGTATGGTTACAGAACAAAGCCATCTACATGAGAGACTCAGAGAGAAGGTCAAGCTTTCATTAAGCATTTTCAAATTCAAGGAGCCAAGGAATAGGTTTTCTTTGTATATTATGGGTTACACAATAAGATTATTTTTGTGTGAGTTTGTTCATGGGTCTGCTTCATTGGAATTCCAGTGTCCTTGGCTGCTTTTCTGCCTCAGATAAAATTATCTGCATTGTGAGTTCTCCTCTATTTAGACTGCCCAGCACTGTAAGAATTAAAATTTACAGGGTTGTGACCACGGCCAAGTCCAATATTTAAAGTTAGATCAAGCAAGTACCTATCAGCTCCTGTTACACTGACTGTTGTACTCAGCTAAATTCCTATGTTTAACTCAACAATCCAGATTCAGGAAATCTGGATCACCAAGTAAAACGCACCATGAGAGTTTGCTTTCTGTTTATTGTAGCAGTGGGAAAAGTACATACATTTGCACCTCATGAAGTTCCCTATCTATTTGACTTTTAAATATTGGATAAGTGGTTCTCTCCCAAACTTCCTACAGCGAGTACCTTTACAAAACGCTTTAAATGTTCCTAAAGATACACCCAGTAACATTTTAAAAAGAGGCAAAGAAACATATTTCCAAGATTTCTACGACCAGTACAAGAAGGACAAAGTTGCAAGTGACTTGGTCAAATGGCTGGGGCTGGTCAGCATGTGTCCATCAGCACTCAGCTCTGCAGTACTGTTTGTCCTTAACTGGCTTCAGTGGAAATTTGTGAGCTCACCTGGCAACAATATTTGGACAAGCTGCCAAGTGTTCCTGTCTTCTTCAGAAGTTCAGGGGGATGGTTCTGAACCAAATGCAATGGATGAACTCGTGCTACCCAGAGGTGCAAAAAACTCAGCAGCTCATTAACGCTGGGAAGGACAGCTGCTATGAAAAGATACCAGCTGAGTCCCATGTCTTAGCAACAGGTAGCATTCCTCCTCCTTGCTATCATACCTATTTCCCAACTGTTTTATTTGGGAAATATTTATTTCTTTTTGCCCATCACAAAAATGCTCCAATAATCATCCTCTTTGGAGGCAAATACCAGAAGTTGGAGGGGAACCTACTTCTAGCAGAAGAAGAATTCAAGGCTCCCCCATTGCCTTTTCTTCTAAATAAAAGTGACCTTTTTAAATCCTACTGTTAAAACGTGAATAATGTTACCATGCAATAGGTTACAGGAGGGTAGGAGAAAAATCTTGAATGAGCACTTAATAAGGAAACCAATGACTTAAAATAGTGGTAGTCTGTCTCTCAATGGTGATCTTTGAGCAGAGGCTGGATGGTCATCTTTCAGTGATGTTCCATCTCAGGATTTTCTGCATTGAGCAGGGGGGCTGGAATAGATGGTCTACAAGACCTCCACCAAGTCCAAAAGTTATGTAATTTCTAGTTTGGCTTTTACTCCCCAAAATCATCAAAACAACCCTTGAGGTAGATCAGCTAGAGAGCAGGATAAGCCCCAGAACTCTTGGCTCAACCGCAATTTGAACTTGAGCTTCTTGTGAGTCATGGCCATCAGACTGAGCTAGAGGGATGAATCTTAGGATCCACCATGTTCCTCAATTACTGATGGGGCCAACACATCACATCCTGTGGCCAAATATGTTGTCCTGGGAGTGTTGAGTTCTTCTTCCAGGTCTAAATGCTGTTCTTTCTCCTTCTGGCTCAGATTCTTCAGGTCCTAGAGAGATACCTCAAGACCTAGAGACAGATATCCCTTATGAAGCTACTTTTTAAAACCTGCCTCAATGCTCAGCTACTTACGTTTGTTTTGCCGTTCACTTCTTCTTGACTTGCAGGTATCTTGGCATCTGTTAAAACACACCCATCCCTGCATTTATTCATGGTTTTAATTTATTATACTTATATCCCACTTTCCCTTTGGGAGCTCAGAGCAATTTTCACTGCTTTCCTTCATGGAAGCATGAAGATGCCCTTTTTTGTACCCCCTCATAAACTATCATTTACATACTGATTTAGATTTTCCTTGGGTTTCGGGATCTATCCTAGAGCACCTGCCAGTTAATTATCCTATTGCATTAAATGGGACTTACTTTTGCATAAAACGACAGTATTTATAGAATGCCCTTCAAAACAACATACATGAACAGCTTACAACAACATTGAAAAAGGTGAAGTCTCCTTTTTGAGTGAAGCTGGTGATTTTCTAATGGTTTCATGGAAACTTCCATGTAGTTTACTTAGTAACAACACAGAAGTACTTCACTGCTGTTTTCTCACTGTCCAGCTTATTGCTTTCCAGCCCTCTCCAATCAAAGTATTACCCAAGTTTAAACCTGTTTGGCCTTCTAAGATCAGTCAATCTTAACTAGGTGCTGCCATCTAGCTGGGCAATAAAATATAAAAACATTCATAGAAGGATGAAACATATAATTCACTTTATTTTTAACGTTTAGACACGAATGCCATTGCTAATGCAGCCCGTGTGCCCAGATCCCACACCAGTAGGATTTGGGATAGCCTTAGCAGGATAGCCTAAGTACAAATTCCAAGCTATTAAAAGAAACCATTAGTAAGAGGCAGGAAACTCAGCCCAACATGGAGTGTTGGTGAGATTTCAAATGAAAGCTCTAAACCAGTGTTTCTCAACTTTGGCCACTTTAAGATGTGTGGACTTCAACTCCCAGAATTCCCC